TTCCAAAACAGACTCTGTTAACAATCTCCGATGCATGCTAAATTGAAACAGTTTCCCCACTCAGCATGATGAAAATACGCGAGATCGTTGTGTGGCCCATTGAGTAGTTTTTCATCTTTCACATAGTCTAGGAAATTTATAACGATGTAACAGCTTCCACTGCAGTGGCCACTGGAAGGACTTTATCTAATTTTATTTGACTTCTCTAACAGAAGATAAATTGGCATTCCAAATGCACAAATGCACTGCCGACTTAATAAAGATGGCTACTAAGATCTACGATAAGAATGAATCCTCTATCAAAAACACAGCTTTTATTATAGTTGTTAAAATTTTTTCTATTTTGTTGTTCATCTCTTACAGTTCTTTATAAATCAAGCATTATTATAAGTATGTATATAGGAAAAAAATATATATCAGACTTCGTACTCTGTCGCTTTAGAGATCGAGTAGGAGTCTTGGGATACATTCTCCACGGATAAGGGGAGAATACAATATCTCTTTGTCAGTGGAATAAAGAAATTAATAAACCTCCCACAACTATCAAGCTTCGATCCAATTGAAAATCTCTTAACTTGTCTAAATTTGTTTTCCTGTCAATTCCACTATGTTCTAGTAATTTGCAGTTGTTACAACAACCGTATTCCTTCGCCACGTGAAATTTATCAAAATAAATGAATTTCGTTTTTCATCCGAAATGGAAAAAAAAACATCTGGAGAAACAAAAAAAAAAAAAAATGTCCTCCGTAAAATCTTAACATACAATCGTTTCCTTCCTTCGGGTAGTCTCTTGGCGCTGACCCTTTTTACTTCAAACCAAGCCCTAAATAGTTTTCTCTTTCAGATTTGCAAGGCCATTTTTCAACAACAACACGATAATTTCATGCGCATAACATTGCTCATGGGCGCGCATGCGTACAACGCATCCGCACGCACTTCCATGTGCGCAGGCGCAAAGCTTCCTCTTCTTCATCTGATGATGACACTTCTCAGTAAATAGTTACCAAAAACAGATTCGTTCTCCGGCGGGCACTTATCAAGTTATAGCACACAGCTGTTGAATTATGTATTTATTCAACAACAGATATTTCCGTAGACACAGGGAATGTCGGTCGCATACGTAAGCACGACAGAAACAAATGTTCGTCAATGGAAATGGACAACGGATTGGATGAAGATCGACGCGCGGACATTACATAATTTGGCCTCATATATATTGCATAGCAACAAGTTGATGAAATCGCTGACTGATACGAACTAAAGCTTTAACTAAAACAACAAAGCCTCATCACAAAACGGTAGACAATCGACAAGAATTCGTCCATTTTAGGCTTCTTGTCTACCGATCAGCTGTTAGATTTTCCCCTTCATTTTAAATTTCTAAAGAATATAAATCGAGAAAGAGTTATCTTCTATGTGTTTTGTCGCTTTAGGCGTTGGTGATCATGACTCTCCACAATTTCCTGTCCTTTGTATCTCTTAATAAATTTGTTTTTTTTCTTATCTCCCCTAAACCCTGTTCCACCATCCATTTATTCAAGCTCGTTAAGTAGGTTATGCATTGTTTATCTCTGCGTTCAATCTGCCCTGTGACTATCAAATTTTCTAAACCTGCTTTCCTCATTATGTGTCCTATAAATTTCAACACTCTCTTCATGATAATTATAAGTGTTCTTTTTGTTTCCACTTTCTCTAAAACGTCCTTGTCCCTCGCATGCTGAGTCCATTGTATTCTCAGTATCCTTCTGTAGAACTACGTTTCTGTTGCTTTATGTATCTTCCTCATCTGTGAAGAGATTATCTTGCATTCATTCTTATAAAGAAATATTGATGTTACGTAGCAGTTAGGCAATGTTTTCTTTGTTTTAATGAAATTTTTCTGTTTCTTAATACTTTGTTTAGCTTTTGGAAGACATCTTTGGCTATCCCAATGCACCTTCGGATTTCAATGTCGCACTTTACGTCCTCTGTTAAAACACTTCCCAGATATTTAAATTGTTGTACTTGTTTGATTTTGGCATCTCCAATTTGTAATTTGCATGTTGGGATGTTCCTTTTACTATCAGCCATGTACTCTGTCTTCTTGCAATTAGTCCTTTCTTCTCGCCTTCTTTCACAGCTATCTGTAGGAGTTTTTGTAGTTTCCTTCCTATGTCTGCTATCTACACTGTCATCTACATGTATATGTACATTGTAGCCCCCAATAATGAATTCTGGTATGAATTCTAATTCTCTCAAAATCGCCTCACTGTGTAGGTTGAATAAGTCTTTGGCTTACGCCCATTTCTTTCTTTACAGTGTACAAAGTCCCTGAGCCACTTGAGGTAGATGGTAACAGAATCAGGCTCAGTTTTATGCGGATATGTAGGGAAGATAACGGTTAACCCTAGACTTGAACAGGTTAAGGTTGTAGTAATCGGAGAAAACATGCTCTTGAGAGTCGGCTCCACGGAGCAGTGGCTCGTGAGAAGCTGCTGCTCCAGTGGAACTTACATCTCACCAATGGAATACGAAAGGAATGAGGGTGATTCGCTACAATGGGCGTGGCATGGTGGGTCTTAGCCCTGTGGGTTAGAACTGGTGGAACTAGGGAATGTAATTCGTCTGAACACTTTCCATATTTTAGTATATTTACTGAATTCATTTTCTATTCGTATGCAGGCATGGTAGGTCTTAGCCCTGTGGGCTAGAACTGGTGAAACTAGGGAATGCAATTGATGAGATATCTTAATCAGATTTTTTCTATGTACTCTGTAGTTATCAAAGGATTTAATGACATTGCATTTGTGTATTTCAGGTATCCTCTTTATGAAAGAGGTACTGTTAAATGAATCCCTAACATTTCCAGACCTGTAAATTGGAAGGGATGGCCCAAATTCCCTGGCCACCTTGTTCACCAGATATCACTCCCCTGAATTTCTTTCTATGGGTTATGTTAAAGATATTGTGTATCAAACAAAGATACAGGACATCACTGGTCTAAAGTAAAAGATCACTGATGCCATTGCCACCATTGATGAGGCTATGCTACAGCAAACATGGTAAGAAATTGAGTAACATCTTGATGTGCTTCATGCAACTAATGGTGCCCAGATAGAGGTGCATTAAATTAGTTAAAAAACGTCAATATTTACTCCTCATTTTGTAAAAATTTCCACATATTTGTCTTTTTCTTTGTTGTTATAATAATTTTTTTTTTTAAATTGTAGAGACTTTATGAACACCCTGTATATTTATCAGTCAAGCAACCTGATCACACTACTTGCTGATGAGATAACACATTGCTAAGGTAACACAATGTTACTTGAAGCAAACACACTTCATATTATCATAACAGAATATATTACTAAGTTGCGAAACCAAGTTTTCAATACATTGCTTATTATTTTTCATTTAAGTTAACTTTCTTTGGATTTCTTTTACTGATTTAACAAGCAGAATTTTTATTTAATGAGTATTGTTTTCAGTAAGATGTTTGCAGTTACAAGAGACAAATTTGCATACAGCATTACTTTATATTAAATGTAATCTAAAATTGTAAAATAACACACAACACTAGAGTTAAAAGTTATATAATAATTATACTACTTTAATAATTATATAATAAGAGTTATATAATAATCTACAGATAAAGATGAAATATGCAGATATCATCATCATCATCATCATCCCCTTGACTTTTGTAAATCGTAGGGGGAATCCAAATGCAGAAGCCATATTGAATGTCCTTCACAACGGTCTATAAATGGCAGCCATCAACAATTCTGGTATAGTCATACCTGTCCATTGTTTGACATTGTCCAACCAGTTTTTTTTTTTATGTTAGCATTGTCTACTACATCCATCTTCAATGGTGCCTTGCATGATGGTCTTGTACAGATTGTCGTACCTTGTAACGTGTCCAAACCACACCATTTTTTTCTCCATTTGATAGTGATTAGAAGAGGTTCCTGGGAGCCGACAAAACTTTCAACCCTTTTCCACACAAATGGCAAGAAATCGAGTATCGATGTCCTTTGCAACTAATGGTATCCATGTAGAGGTGGATCAAATTAGTTAAAAAAAAAAAAAAATCAATATCTACTCATTTTGTAACAATTCCCACATATTTGTCAGTTCATTTTGTAATATATTTTTAAATAGTAAAGAGACATTCTGGCCACCCTGGATATATCGGTTGGTCACAATAATAAACGAGATAGTGATTGTTGAAAAGTTAGCAGCAAGATGTTTTTTTAACAAAATATGACAGATAAATCCTTAGGTTCTTAATGTGATTTTGTTTGATTTATTTATTTTTTTAATAGCTCTTTTGTATTTTCTCTTTTCAGCTTTGATAGACGCATCGGAAACCTGCGTACGTGTCAACCCAATAAGATTAAAAATATTTATTGTAGTTTTTCTTTTAGTGAAATATCGTTTCATTTTTATTTATTTTGTAAGTCGCCTTACTCTATCTTCTTGTTCTTCTTTGTTTTGATCACAACATTCAGGGTCCAGTACTCTGCGCGTGCGAAATTTGAAATAAAATGCCCCCGACAAGATTTGAATTCGTATATCCCATCTCGATAACGTCTTCCATAGACATCGCTCCAATTATTTATTTTTGTTTTCCTTTTGTTTTGATCTAATGGTAAATGGATTAAAATTAGATGTACAGTATTTCTCACCATATAAATCGCACTTTTTTTCTCTTAAAAATCCTCTTACGTTGTTTATTTTTGGTTTGTTTTTTGTTTTTTTACCCCAATGATTGAATTTGGGTAAGCAGGTTGCCTATGATTTCGCAAACACTTGAATTTGACAAATTGGTTCTGTTGGAGGAATTCATTCGAATAATATCCAGTAGCTTATGCGGAATTAGTAAATACTAAACACGTCAGATACATCGGCGTAAGGATCAGCTGTAACAAATTTAGTATATGAGAAAAGGAAATTGAAGGTAGAATGTGCTGCGCCAAAGGTAGTTTCACCCAGCACCGCTACCAATTGTTACACGCTTACGGCCATATTACGTTGAAACACCGGTTTTCATACGATCACCGAAGTTAAGCAACTTCAAGCTTTGTCCGTACTTAGATGGGTGACCACTTGGGAATAGCAGTTGCTATATGGGAACGGCGTAAAGGATAATGGCTTCGAATTAGAGATTGGAGAGCCGAGTTCCAATTCCAGTCAGTTTCGTTTTAGTCATTTACACGCAAATACCTTTGGGAAAGGTAGAAATCTCTTCTCCTCGCCCCCTTCGCCGCAGCTATAAGTTAATTAGTAGGACTTATCAGTAAATCATTATCTCCATAAAATTCATACAATTAATTTTCTTGCTTTAAATAAACTTCAAAAGGTTAATAGGCCTTAAAACACAAACCAATCAAAGCAAATTGCTACAAAAAGCAAAATATCAACTTAAAATGTCGTTACGTTCTTAAATTAGTAAACACTAAACACTTCAGATACGGTGTATGGGTAAGTAATAACACATTGGTATAGAGGATAAAGAAATTGAACACAGAACACTACTTGAAATAAAAGGTTGGGAAGGAGACCGCCATCAATACTAGAAAAGGTGATAATCAAGATATTGACATTTTGTACGACTTTCTAGAAAGAACAATAACAGCTACTGGATTTGAAAAACTTCTTTTCAGAGAAAGATTTTATAAATGTCAGTACTGGCTGCTCGGTCAATGAATAACAAATGTTTCCTTATAGGGAAACGGCTAATATAATAAATACGGCTAATTACAATAAAACGGCTAATTAATATAATACAATAAATCTTTAACCAAAACCCTGTTGAGGGTTACGAAATTCTAAAGTTTTCCCCTAGATATTCTTTGCCGAATTATAAGTGCGGGTTACTCTAGGTATTTGGGGAGGGAGATATTTTATTTAACTTGACCTGGGAAAGCCAGAAGTGTTCAGGAGGAATTTATAAGGTTCTAACTAATATAAATTGTCGGTACCTATTTTTGTTGAAGGGGGGAGATGTAAATGTCAAAAAGGAACTGTTAAACCTACGAAAATTAGATTCCTGAGCAAATATTCTTTTTGCTTATGCGCCCTCAACCGCGCTATCAGTCGTTACTCTAATTTTTTCTTTTCTGAATGTCTTCTAGCGATAACAATTTAAGTTTAATAACGGCAGTTTGAAATATTATAGAGGAAGGTACATCGTGCAGTGGGATAAAAACATAAAATAGAGTAAGTAATAATAATAAACATATTTGGAGGTTTATGAAGCTCCATATTTATTTCTGCTTCTAAAAGAATTTTCATGATTCTTCGATGACACAACACAACTTATGAATTCATACATGGATATCCGATAGTTCATTTCTTCCATCGTTCTTTTAATTACGGCTCTTTTTTTTTCTTATTCTGAAAAGAACAATATTGAAAATCTGTGAAATAGGCGATGTTTTTTTGTTGTTGTTTTTTATACAAAAAACAATTCGATAAAAACTCTAACCCTTTGTTTTGTCCTGTGTTTTTTTGGGGTTTTTTTTGGGTTTTTTTTTATTACCTTTTGAAGTTTTTTTTTCTTGGCAAAGGTCGCTGTTCCGAAAATTCTATATTGTCTCAATACAGTCCTTCTATAATTGCGTTATTTTACAACTTCGTTTTTTTTTTCTCCCCGCCCCGTTTCTCGCAGTTAAGGAAAACAATCTTATAAACAAATTCCGCGCGATTTTCTCTTTATTTAAATTGTCTATAATCAAGTGATTCTTTCTTATCTAATCACAATTATTTCGCCTTTTGTAGACAGAGAAATAATAATAGAAACCTCTAAAATCAACTTGATTGTTGTTCACTAAAAATTGATTTATACATTAACTTTTAACCAATTTACAATGTGTGTGTGTGTGTCGTTTAAATCAGAACATTTTGCAAATAGCAGACATTCTACGATGGGAATTCAAAAAGTTCATGGACAGATGGAATTAAAGGATTCTTTTTAAGTATAAACTTTATTTCTCCAAGATCCATCAATATTAAAACATTTCTGTGAATGATGATACCGGCCATTTATACCATCCCAAGAGAACTGAGCGTCCTGAGAATTTAACCATTTAAAACAGCCTTTTTATGTTATTAATGATTTCAAAATAGGCACCTTTCAAAACTTTTTTAAGCTTAAGAAATAAAACGGTAGAAAGCGGTAAATTAGTTACCGCCGCTAACTCCCTAAAATAAGAACATATCATGATAAAAAAAAAACATCCTAAACTTGATAAAAACAAAGTTTTATCGTCAAAATCTTTGTTATTAAGAGGAAAGGTTAAAGTATTTTTTGATTATTTAATTATATTTTTTATTCCTTTTTGAGAACGTTCAAAATTTTGGTTAAAAAGTTTGTTTTTCTTGCGTCAGCAAGTGGATTATATTAGCATAACATTAGCATACAAATTAGCGTCTTCTTTGCTGTGAAAAGCACATTGATTTGGAAATTCTTGCAGAAAGCAAATAATTGACGGGTTTAATGAAACATTCAGAACGTCTTCCAAAATGGATTAACTTATTTTAGAAAATCTTTGTAAAAAAAAAAAAATATATCTTTTTTACATCTTTTACCCCATTTTAAAAAAAAAAAGTTTAATATTTATTTTTTTGAAGAATTTATCACTTTTTTTTAAAACCAAACCCCATTTTTTGTTCTGTATCGTAAAATAAAAAAATGCAATATAACCAAGGCATTATTTAATAAGAGTTTTTAATTGCTTTTATGAATAAGTTATATTAAGGACATTATTGTCTTAAGAAAAAAAATCCATGAATAATGAATTTTTACAAGAATTGTTTTAATTTTTTAAATTTTAATTAGAATAATTTGTAAAGTTTTAAATCTTTTAAAATTCTATATTAATTTGTAACGTTTAGGTGATATTGTTATTAAGTAAAAAATATATATATTTATTAATCATAACTTTTATTACAATTTAGTAAAGTTTTTTTATATGTTTGTAAACGTATCGATTTTTGTAGATACGGGTGATCATACACGATATTATCAGAAAATAAAAGCGATAACTATAGCAAATTTAAAGACAATGTATCTAAAATTCAATAAAACATTAGATTACGAAGAATATTTTCCTCAATTTTTAAGGTTACTGAGTACATAAAATTATATAAAAAGTCGCTTCCGTTATATTCTTCAATTATTTCTTACAAACATATCCACTGTAGAAAAACATTAGATAAATTTCCCACTGTTATTCAAGCTATCAACACCTTAAACAATCAGCTAGCGCTGTGTAAAAAAAAAAAAAAAGGGATGGGGGTATTTTTGTGATATTTTAAGCTTAAAGTAATATTTGTTTCTGATCAGATTAATTACATTTTAAATCATCAAATATTCCCCAGGTTCCAGAAAAGTATATTTTATTTTGGAGAGATTTTTTTTTTTAATAAAGAGAATTATATTGTGTTAAACAATGGATAAAAATGGCGCTAAAATCAACTATATAAAATCAGCTTTAGAAAAACTCCTTCCGGTGAATTTAAATTAGTTTTGAAATACGGCAAAGTATTTTGCTTATTGGAAATATTAATCTATTAGCTTGAAATTAAAACTAAAATAAAAGCTTCAAGAAAGATTTTTCATTTTTAAAAATTAATTTTAAATCTTAGTTATCCCGAATCTGTGGAGATATCTCCGTTAAATCAGTATTGTAAGGTGGATGTCTTATAATTTCCCATCGAAATCCTCCCAATGTTCCCCTTGTGTGAGAGGAATGGACAAGGCCATTATCATGGTGGAAAAGGGTTTACTGATAAAGTTTTCCACGCCGTTTTACTACTTAATTTTTAGTTGATTTTCTCAAACACTTCTGTAATTAGTAAATGTTACTGAATTTTTTTTCTCTTTTTTTTCTCTCTCTCTCTTATATATATATCCCCCCCCAAAAAAAAAGCTGCCACCGTAACCTTTCCTCCTGGTCAGGTTTGCTTCTGCTTAAACTGAATACTTTCCACCTTTGGATGACCATTACTTTTTGGGGGCTTTGTCTTCAGGATCCTAATGGATCAAGCTTTATCTCCAGTACAATTCAGGATTTTGATCTCATTTGTTTAAAGTTTCGATTGAAAGCTCTGCATTTGTTGCTGACCTGGGCGCAACGGGTTTGACAGTCAAAGAGCAGAATTTCCTCAATGTTAATTTCTCTAATGAAATTGCATACACTGAAAGAACTGAAGTGAGTAGAGTGTTACTGTTTATATTTTTAGAAACCAGGTCTGCCAATACATTAATCATTTTCAACTCTGTATCGTCCTTCATTGATTTTTTTTTGGGGGGGGGTGTATTTTCATATATTTTTTTCAAAGCGCCAATACTGTCGTCAGTCTTCCAATCAAGTTTTACCATAAATTTGATGCTAGTACTTATTTCAATTTTGACACGATTCCTGTTGCTCTAAAGAGGATTGGTCACTTTTAAACTAGCGTAAACCTCAGTCTACTGCTTCGAAATACTTCCGGTCCACGTAAGCCGAAGATCGCTTTGCCGCAGACAAATCTCAAAATATTTGCGTATTATTCTTAGGTGCTCTTTCAACGAATTTTTTGATGGTTTCGTATATCCGTTCATTCTCTTGAAATTTGACGAGAAAGAGAAAAATTATTAGATTACCTGCGTGCTTTACCGTCCGTTAAAATCGCCGGTGATTTATGCCAGGTAAACGCTAGAATTTCAAACATTGATTTTCAAGGTAAAAAGAATGAAACTTTTTTTTTTTTTTTTTTTTTTTTTTTGGATACCGAATAAATTTTATTTGTTTTTAAATATTTCTAACTAGATTTTTCATCTTCATAGTTTTTAATCGTGTTTCGGCGTTTTTTTGTTTGTTTTCTTTAATTTAGTCTCGCAAGAATATTTGCTGTGAACAAGACTTCGATACATTGTTCTACAAACTGAAAAGGAAGTCTCATTAAGTGAGGTGAAAGTAAAAAAACGTCAAAAATCGATGCGACATTTAACAGATGATATACCTAAGATAGAATCAGTTGATGTCGCTAATATGACTAATATCAAACAGAACGTCGTTCAATGATGATACTTAATACAGTTCGATGATGCAAACATAACCAGTTTGTTTCATCGGGTT